ATAAACAAACGAAAAATCAAGGAATCCATCTTAATTGCATAAACAACCCTACTCTAAACAACACCCCAGGGTGTCTAGATACCTCTTCTAAGTTTCACAACAGTTCCGGTCATGTGACTTCTTTGTTCAATACTGTATATATATATCCGTGACAGTGTAAATTACTTGTGCCTGATGATGACAAAACCTTGTCGAAACGTTGTACATTTGCTGTTATGTTAAACTTATATTAAAGTTTTTCTTCATTACCCATTCAAGCCGTCTCCAGCCATTATTAGTCTCAAAGTGGGTTCCTCGTCATCGAACTTCCAATAAGAATTTTTAGTAATCTTATACTATTCAGTTTATTTGTTGATATATGTATAGTGAAAAAAACGTACGAAATTCTTTAACTACAATAAAAAAACTTCTAAAACAGGAAATCTAACGTAGACGAGAGATTACAAATCGCCTGTGATTAGTTAAGGAGAAAGGTTTGAACTGATTCAGTCCTTTTTTAAGTAAAAAAAAAAGTAATTTAGACCAAAATCTAATAATTTGTTTTAGGGTTATTCTAATATGTAATGTTTTAAGTATGTTCAGTTTTACAAGTAACGTGAGACACTAAGGTTCACAATAACTAGGTAGCACAAGACATGGAAAAAATCAGAGCAGTTATATTGCATCAGCATTTCTGAGTCTGTGGTTCGCGGACTTCTTTCAGGTGGTTGTATAAGCAACAGCATAGTGTAAAGATCCCATTGTTGTCCAAGATAAAAAAATTCAGGTGGGGTGCGAGAATTACTGCACTACACTACTAAAATCCCACAGAAAACGCTACAAACAAAGACAGTATTTACACTACGCTACTTATATTAACGTAGACGAGCCATAATGTTCATGATATACACTATTGAATACAACAGGCAACAATTAATTGCTACAATACTGAAGACAACATAGGCAACAATTAATTACTACAATACTGAAGGCAACATAGGGCAACAATTAATTACTACAATACTGAAGGCAACATAGGCAACAATTAATTACTACAGTACTGAAGACAACACAGGCAACAGTTAATTGCTACAATACTGAAGACAATATAGGCAACAATTAATTACTACAATACTGAAGACAACACAGGCAACAATTAATTACTACAATACTGAAGACAACACAAGGCAACAATGAATTACTACAGTACTGAAGACAACATAGGCAACAGTTAATTGCTACAATACTGAAGACAATATAGGCAACAATTAATTACTACAATACTGAAGACAACACAGGCAACAATTAATTACTACAATACTGAAGAAGGCAACAGTTAATTGCTACAATACTGAAGACAACACAGGCAACAATTAATTACTACAATAATGAAAAGAATAAAGACAAAACTACAGGGTTTACACTAAAACTCTGAAACTACACAGACAACAGCCCATACTGTTTATATTACATTGCCACTCAAAAACTGTATAGACAAAGTTAAGACAACAACACGTATACTATACTACTAGACAACAACTGTAGAAGCAACAAAACACAAAGTTTACACTACATTACTAGAGAGTAAGTGTGGAGATAGCAAAACAGAGTTTACATTGCTAGAACAACTGTAGAGACAACAAAACACAGAGTCTACATTACTAGAACAACTGTAGAGGCAACAAAACACAGAGTCTACATTACTAAAACAACTGTGGAGACAACAAAACACAGAGTTTACACTAGAATACTAGAAAACAACTTAGAGACGATGATCCATATCGTTTACAATAGTGATATAAGGAACCACAACGTATATGCTATAGTACTGTACAAGAATATACAGCATTTATACTAACCACTAGGCAACAAATACAAATACAACAACATTTAAACTATAGTACAGCGAGTAGTACTTAGAAAGACAAGTTATTGCAATTATTAAGAAAGCACTCAAATGTTTGGGATTTTGGCGTTAGGATCAGATGTAATGTCGGATTACCTACATCAATGTTTTACCTTTATCTTGTCCTGAAATCTGGAATGATTAAAGTCGGCTTAAGGACACGTGCCTTTCCGTGAAATACAAGTAATAATGTGAGATCTAATATAATGTCACGGTGAATGAGGACTTCAGCTAAGCCTCGAAACAAGATCCTGGAAGTATCGGGAGTACTTAGTGTTTACAATAGAAAACGTGTTCATTATAAACTTTTTTTTTTCATCAAGGATTTCGATATCAATAAATTATACAATAAACGAAAGAAGAGAAATATCTGAGTTTAGAAAAGTACAATTATTTTTAAAGTAATCTGGTCTAATTAATTCAGTTATTCAAGAACACTCGCCACCTACTCTTATGTGATCAGATAGTGGGGTTTGATCGATACTCTTTTAACGCACTCTGGCCCCGAAGTAAGGAGTACATTCTACCAGCAACGAGTCTCGTACCACGAAGCCCCGGATTCACAGTCCAGACAAGTTAGCTAGTAGGTCACACCTGGCTGAACAAAACAACGAATCGAATGCTTAAGACTTTATAAGTACAATTTTCTCATGATTTTTATAGTTCTTACTGTGACCTTACTTTAAATTTAGTGTGTTATAAGCACCGTGAATTGTAGCATTTTTATTAATATTTAGCATAAGGCCCTTACTTTAAATTTAGTGTGTTATAAGCACCGTGAATTGTAGCATTTTTATTAATATTTAGCATAAGGCCCTTACTTTAAATTTAGTGTGTTATAAGCACCATGAATTGTAGCACTTTTATTAATATTTAGCATAGGACCCTTGCTTTAAATTTAGTGTGTTATAAGCACCATGAATTGTAGAACTTTTAGTACTATTTAGCATAAGGCCCTTACTTTAAATTTAGTGTGTTATAAGCACCATGAATTGTAGCACTTTTATTAATATTTAGCATAGGACCCTTGCTTTAAATTTAGTGTGTTATAAGCACCATGAATTGTAGAACTTTTAGTACTATTTAGCATAAGGCCCTTACTTTAAATTTAGTGTGTTATAAGCACCATGAATTGTAGCATTTTTATTAATGTTTAGCGTCGCTATCAACAGTAGTACAAATCAGTGAACAAATATGAAACCAGCACCACCTAGATACACCCATAAAGCACTATTTGTTTGAATAAGACCCACAGCTGCTGTTGTGAGTTATCTAGAGTTTGGTGCCTTCGATAAAACATGGATTATGAAACATTGTTTTATCAATTTTATTGCGTCTGCTAAGTTAACTTTAATCTGCGTCCTTGTGGTTAAAAACTGAACTAAATAAGACAATAATATTAAATCACAAGATAAATTGGTATTGTATAGATAAGGTAAACGTATATAATCATGTTCTGATTATAGCTCTCTTAAGTAACGATAATTTTGTTGATCGGGTATTTATTATTTAGTAAAAAATTATGCAAAGCCAGTTAACGAAAATGAATTTGTTTGTTCGAGAGCAAAGCCTCATTGGGCTAACAGCTGTATCTACTGCGGGGAAACGAACACGGAATTTTAGCGTTGTAAATCCGTAAACTTACGGCTGTCCCACCGGGGGATACGAAAATGAAAGCGTTTATTTATTTTAACATAAATTTTATAAGCTTCCCTGAACGAAAGGTCCACTAAATAAAACTAAGCAGTCAAATACTTGTTTAATAATCTCTCGTGTCTTAAGCACAAACTCCAAACTGGCTGAGTAACATACTCTCTAACTCAGTAATTGATCGACAAGACTAAAACAGACGCAGTAATTGGCTAACCAATTAACTGAATTATTAATAAACAATTATCTTGTGTTTCTATACCAGAATAATATTTCCCCAAGGCACTAAAAAACATTCGAGACGTCACCAGCACGTCACGTCAAATCTAGACACTCAGGAAATTTTTAGGTGTTACACATCATCACTACGTCATGTCAAAACTCCCTCTCGCAAACAGTACAAAACATTTAAATAAAATATTAAAAATAGTTCAAAACATTACCATTACTATTATAAAAAGGTAGTTTTGGGAACATTAGAGACTTAACGATAATAAAATACTATTGTTGTTACTATTCAACAATAGTTTTAGATCATGAAACAACTTAATAATAACCACGTAATACTATTGTTGTTACTATTCAATAATACTTTTCAGATCTTGAAATAACTTAATAATAATCACACAGCACCATTGTTGTTACTATTCAACAATAGTTTTTAGATCTTGAAACAACTTAATAATAACCACGTAATACTGTTGTTGTTACTATTCAAG